TCCTGCCTGCCCCACCCCCCTGCGCTGTTCCCACTGATAGAGAGGCAGCAATGTGTTTGTGTGGTGGGAGGGAGCAGGTGGCTTCACAGGAGTCAGTACAGGTAGGGAGCTTGCTTGAAAGCTGACTTCCCATGTCAACTGATAGCAGGCAGTTCTCCCTCACCCTCCATACTGCTGATTCATTGTCAGAGACAGCAGCATGGAGCAGGAAGGGGGGGCGGCTCCGTAGGATCAGGTGCTTGTGGGGAGCTGCTCCCACCTCCCCGCCCTTGCTGCCTCTTGATAGAGAGGCAGCAAGGGGTTGCATGTAGTTTGGATTACCTGATATGTGTAGGCTTATTGGTTAATTGTTTAAATTGCTAAAATCCGTAGCTTTTAAGAGGGAGAACTAATATAGCCATTATGGTTAGGAAGGGCTGCATTGCCATTACCAGCACTTCTCCTTTCTCCTTCACGTCTGCCTGTATCTAGCCTGTAACCTGACTGTGAATGCCTCTACCCAAATCCTGAGTTTCCAGAGACTGTTGCCTACATTTCCCTCTAACAGAAAACCATACTGGGTGGACCATCCAGGGTGAAAGGTTCCTGCTTGTGGAATCTCTTAGGAAGCAGGTAAGAGAGCTGTCAGAAAAGGTAGCTAAGTTGAGGAGCATTCATGGTAGCTAAGTTGAGGAATTCCTTGAGAGTATTTATGTGGAGATGTCCCAGGTTGAGAAAGCTCTACAGCTACAGAGGATTGCTGGCACACCAATGGGAGAGAAGAGGTGACTCTGTCACATAGAGGAAGCTGACAGCTGGTTACTTCTGACAGGAGGCAGTGCTCCACCACTGCTCCAAACCTACCCACCATAGTGATGGAGAACTGTTATGTTGCCTTCATCTCTCATTGTCCACTAAGATGGAGAGAGAGAAACCATGTACCCCAAAGAGGAAATGTAGGGTAGTGATAATTGGAGATTCTCCTCTGAGGCAGTCGGGGCACTCATCTGTTGCCGTGACATGGCTTTGTGGGAGGTATACTGCCTGCTGGAGTCTGTATCTGAGATGTTATGGAGGGATTGTTGAGTATCATCAGACCCTCTGACTACTACCCTATGCTACTCATCTATGTAGGCACTAATGATACTCTCAGCAGATCAGAAGTGACTGTAGGGCTCTTGGAGTATGGGTGAAGGAGTTCATAGAAAACAGTCTACAAGTACCCATGGGGACACACATCTTGAAGAACCATTGTTACTGCACTAAGGTGAGTAACGTCCTCTTCTCATTTGCTTCTCCCATCCCCAATACAATCTCTCAGCTCTCATTGGACAGAACCAGCCAATGGGAGCTGACGGATTGTGTTGGAGATAGGATCAGCCAGCAGGAGCTGAGAGATTGTGCTGGGGCAGTGCGTGAAGGCTTCACCTGCCCCTGCAGAAAGCCGAAAGCCGCATGGAGCAGCCAGCCTCTCTGTGCCATGGGGCTGTGTGGCAGGCAGAAAGCCTGCTTGAGGGTCTCACTGGGGTATTATCTGAAGCTGTCTAGGTAAACACTTCCCAGCCAGAGATTGCTTCTGGCACCTCACACCTCTTGCCCCAGGTCACCACCCCAAACCCTCTGCATCCTCCTCCCCGAGGTCATAACTCCCTCTCAGACCCTGCACTCTCTCCTACAATTTTCTTAGGTTGGTAGCTTTTTAAAAATCTATTTCTAGAAGTTACTAAATAGTAGTCAGTACTGGCTGGCATTTTAAATTTAAAACACTGTACAAGTAACGAAGCTAAGTGAACATAGATGAAAAATTTCCTTTGGTTTCGGTGTCCTATTGTTTATAACTTGAAACGATGAGGGGCAACCTAGGTTAGTGAGTGGGTCACATGAGTGGTTTGCCTTCATGCCAGTGGGCCTGATATTGTCATAAGTAAGATGGTCTCCCAGAATAGGTTAGCTAACTGTGCTTATGTACCTAGAATTTGCTGGCTGTGTTGATTTAACCATCGCAGCATTTTAGATGCAGAGGGAGCGCATGGCTATCACAGTCAGCACTCAGCTCACTTTAAGGCTACGTCTACACTGGCCCCTTCTTCGGAAGGGGCATGCTAATTTTGAACTTGGGAATAGGGAAATCCGCGGGGGATTTAAATATCCCCCGCGGGATTTAAATAAACATGGCCGCCGCTTTTTGGGCTTTATTCCGGAGGATCGCGCCAGTCTAGATGCTTTTTTCCGGCTTTTCCCCAAGCCTTAAATATCCCCCCCGGATTTAAATAAAGATGTCCGCCGATTTTTTTCCGGCTTGGGGAAAAGCCGGAAAAAAGCATCTAGACTGGCGCGATCCTTCAGAATAAAGCCCTTTTCCGGAGGATCTCTTATTCCTACTTCAAAGAGATTCTCCGGAAAAGGGTTTTATTCCGGAGGATCGTGCCAGTCTAGACACTTTTTTCCGGCTTTTCCCCAAGCCGGAAAAAAGCGGCGGACATCTTTATTTAAATCCCGCGGGGGATATTTAAATCCCCCGCGGATTTCCCTATTCTGAAGTTGAAAATTAGCATGCCCCTTTCGAAAAAGGGGCCAGTATAGACATAGCCCCTATGTCTTTGTTACAGGCTTGCTTTTTATGTGTATGTCCAGAACCTACCACCCTGGAGCCCTAATCTTAGTTGGGTTCTCTAGGCACTAAAGAACAACTTCAATAATAAATAATGTGGAAATATTTGTATTAAAGCATGCTAGATGTGTACATATGAATACACCTGTTTCTACAGATTTAATTACATAGATATCTGGACAGGTGCATTTTTGTGGTTGTGTTTTCTGGATTTGTATTTGGGCTTCAGGAGAGGATCTTTAATGGACCGCTTGTAGCTCTGATAATGTGTGATCCTAATGCCACACAATTACAATATCTTTAGTTAACAAAATACATGGAGCTGGATATGAAAAATGGAAAGAGAGGAAAAGAATCATGAAAACCACATATTGAATGCTGAATGCAGATTTGGTCAGCTCATCTCATAAAAGATCTATTGGATTTGAAAAGGTACAGAGAAGGGCAAAAGAAATGATAGGTATATTGAACACCTCCTATATGGGGAAAGATTAAAAAGACTGGAATTTTGCAGCTTGTAAAAAGATGACTAAGGGGCTAGGATAGAGATCTATCAAATCATAAATTGTGTGAAAAAACTGAATAAGGAAGTGCTGTTTATTCCTTCACATAACACAAGACTCAATTATATTAATAGGCAGCAGATTTAAAACAAAGTATTTCTTCACAGTCAACCTTTGGAACCCTTTGCTGGGGATGTTCTGAAGGCCAAATCTATTACAGGTTTTAAAAAAGAACTAGATAAGTTTAGGGAGCATAGGTCCCTCTGACTATTAGCCAGGGTGGGCAGAAATCCAGTCCCATGTTCGGCGTGTTCCTCGCATATTTTCCAGAAGCGGGGAATGGGTGACAAGAATTAATCACTTGATTGCCTGTTTATTCCTCTGAAGCACCTGTCATTAGCCATTGCTGGAAGAGCTAGATAGACCTATGGTTTGACCAGTATAGCCATTCTAATGTTCTTGTATAGAACCCAAATGTGTCTGCCATCCTTCCTCTCCCACTAAACCGCAGTTCCCTTCCACAACTGAAATAGAACCCAGGAGTCCTGATGGAGTATTTTAAACATAACAGTGTCCCTTAAGTGACTTGCCACAAGATTTAAGAACATGTTGTTGTTAGAGCTGAAACAGTCTGATATTTATTTAATTTTCTTTCTTTTATATAGGAATTAGATACAGTGCGTTTGTCAGCTAAAATGGCTAAATTATCTACTGAAAAACTAGGCTGAGTCTAGACTGGCATGATTTTGCGCAAATACTTTTAACGGAAATGTTTTTCCGTTAAAAGTATTTGCACAAGAGAGTGTCTATACTGGCATGTGCCTTTGTGCAAAAGACTTGCTTTTGCGCAAAAGCATCTGTGCCAGTGTAGATGCTCTCTTGCGCAAGAAAGCTCTGATGGCCATTTTAGCCATCGGGCTTTCTTGTGCAAGAAATTAACTTGTCTGTCTACACTGGCCTTCTTACGCAAGAATACTTGCTCAAGAGGGCTTATCCCTGAGTGGGAGCGTCGGAGTATTTGCACAAGAACCACTGATTTTGTACAGTACAAAGTCAGTGTTCTTGCGCAAATACTCGCAGCCAGTCTAGACACAGCCCTAGAGTTTACGTGCCTAAGTAGCCTCTGGAATCATGGATAAAGTTACCTCCTATCAAATCTGAAATGGTGCTCCTACAGCTAAGGCATGACCATTCATCCTCTTGACCACTTTACTTTTGCCCTACTCTATGTGATTGTGTGTCTATAATTTTGATTATGAAAATAATCAATTGTTTTTCACTGGACATCAATAATAAGTAAACTTCTTTCTGAAAATTATTTTATTGACTTTAGTGATAAAAACCTTAGAATAACTCTGGAAGAGATCATGTAAAAACAATTATTTTTTACATTGTTCATATTATGTATATTAAGTTTCACCCCCATATAGTCAGAATTTCCTGTTGTTTGTTTTTCCATATAGTAGCAGAGAGCAAAAAATTTATAATAAGAAAATGTAATTGTAAAACTGCAAATATTGACAGAAGAAATCTTAGGGGATGTCTATACAGCAAAAAGACCTGCAGCAGTGAATCTCAGAGCCCAGGTAAACTGATTTGAGCTCCTACAACTCATGCTGTGGGGCTGGAACCTAGGCTCTGAGCGTAGACATCCACACTGTTATTTTTATTGCTTTAGCAAGCCCTGCAATCTTGAGGCATTTGACCTAGGCTCTGAGCCTTGCTGCTGCTGGTTGTGTAGACAATACAGTTCCTAAAATTATTTTCTAATTATTTTTTTTAATTAAATCTCAAGTTGACTGTCCTTAACACTCTCTGAACCACCTTTACATACTAACCATGTCTTGTTGTTAATGTGACTATGCATTTCATGCCATGGAATTTAACATGCTGTCTTTTTCTTGCAGGAAACTAATTGGATGTTATATGGTGAAATGCATTTTTGTAATGGATTATATGTTCAAATATGCTCTTTTTCTACAAATGGTATCAACAGACAATGCCCAGCGTATGACAGAAATGCTGACAGTGGAAAGAAAATTGTCAACTAGCAATATCACATTAAAAAATTGCTTTAAGAAAATCTGCAGTTCACATCAGTAATCCACATCTGGTAAAGATTTGTAGTTAGTAATGCATGTGCTTTTAAAAGTAATAATAAAGGATTCAACATGCTTTTACAGTGTGTATGCACTGATAATTTGGCACAAAATGTTCATACATTGAAATCATGGTATGATTATCAGTGAGATACAACAGAACATTATCTAAAGACTGTGTCAAAATGACCTCTGAGGAAATGGCAGCTTCTGTACTTGTGTCTCTGACACAGGGTAAAGTGATACCTGCTCAGTCAGCTGGAGATGAAAATAGTGAAAATGCTTTGGACACCAGTGTTATAAAAAGACACATTGCTAGTCAAGGAAAGCAGACTATGCATACTTTTTCCTACTTACACGGGCTTAAAGAAGAACATCGTCAGGGTTCACTGCCCAAAATTTTCTCTTTGGCAAATGAAGAAGAAATGACAGGTAACAGGAGTAATGAAAACTTCAGAGATAAAAGCACATGCATCCCTGGTTCAGTGGAGTTTCTTAACATTAATTGTAACATTCTAAAGAAAAAACGCAAGAGCAGTGATCAGCATAACCAGTTACATAAATCACATGATTCTTTAGCAGAAGAACATACATACTTAGAAACTGGAATTTCTACTTCACTGGAAACGACCATGTTTGCTGAAATTCAGTTGAAGATGGATGGACCATCAGTAAACATGAAGTCCTTAAGAAACCAGTCAGCAATAAATAAATGTGGCACAAGTGATGCTGATAATGTAGCAATGTTTCACTTGAGCTATGCTAGTGAAAGAAATATATCGAAAGCTTTGTGTGCACTACCCAAGAGCTTCATTTTGGATGACTGTTTACAGTGTGTAAATGTTGGCAATGATCACACCAGCGATTCAACAGCCTGCACTTGTAAATTAATGGAATTGACAAATAATTGTGACACTAAAAATGGACAACATTTTTGTGATAGCTGTGACACTTTAAGGGATAAATATTTATGTTTGGAAAGAGAAGCACAAAAGGTTAGAGTGGCATGCTCAGGTCACAGCTTCTGTGGCAGTAATTTTACTGGAAGAATGCCCTCAAAGCCCTTTCTGAGCCATTTTGAAGATTGCAGTGATAACTGTGAAGAAGGGATGGAGGAAGAGTTTTTTAGAAACAAAAAAGAACGTTCCACTTTACTAATCAGGCGTTTTTGTAAAAATGATAAGGAGGTTAAAAAATCAGTTTATACTGGAACAAGGGCAATTGTTAAGACTTTACCTGCAGGACATATTGGAGCTGTTGCTTGGAATTATGTGGAGCATATGAGAAACCAGAGTGACTTAAAGCATTGTAGGATTATAGCAGAACATCTAACAATTCAAGCCTTGAGTCAGGAATTAAATTCTGATCTTGTGAAATCCATGTGGTGTGCGGTAAGTTTTTCATCTTTTTTTTTTGTCCTGTTAATGTGTACTGAACTGGTGATCTTTGGATTTAACAAAATTATGTCATGGTTTATTGATGAAATTCTTAAAGAGAGCATCAGAAACTGCATGACCTAAATAATAAGACTTAATAAAGTTGCAAGAACTATGCAAAAACAAGCTTTTACTATGAGTACCATGAGTAACATTTAAGATTTTATGATATGTCCATTGGTATCAGCTAGTAATATGTTAAGTCTTCCATTCTTCTTGTTGAACTCTCCTTTTCAAAAGGGTTTATATCTCATCCTTTAAAACCCATTTTATCTAAAAATTGGCAGAGGACTTTGAAATCAAACATGGAAAAAATAAATCATCCATTTTTACAGACTTTCTAAAAATGAAGTGTGGCATTCTTAATGTTTCAAAATTAATATGAAAATTGTATGAAATACCAAATATATTAATATTCCATGATATGGATTGATGTAAAATTATTGTAGTATAGTGAAAAATACAGGTTACATAATAGGTATTAAAAAACCTAAATATTTTATATGAATTATCATGTTTGAACATGACTTCTGCACGTATAAATAACTATAATTTATAAGACTGTTGCATACTGTGTATTGATACGGTTGTTTTAATCTATGTTCTATCAATTAAATATCATTCTAAGCCTTCATTCACAATTATTAATTTATTATGAATTTATTAATTCATAAAATGTTGTGGAAATGATATGGCACTTCCCAAAAGCAGTAGAATTGTGAATTACTTTTAGAACATGCTGTTCAGTTTTCTGCAGTTCCAGGGCTATAAAACTGGAAACAAGAAACTGTGATTGGCAGTGGAATTTATAAAAAGAAGGGTTTTCCCCCTACAGTATTGCTAACAAAATGGCATTTTAGAATGGAAGATTACAGTGCTTTTCTTTGGAATCAAGTTCAGGTAGCATCTAGTCAGTGTGGGTATTTGACTTCACTTTGCCAACCATATGGTGTCATGACATTTGAAATCATTTTATTTTACCTTATTACAACTGAATTTCGAATTAACTCTGATTTTATTAATCATAGGATTATTATTTAATCATCCTGTTATTTTATGTCACTAATATGTGTAAATGATGTACTATTTTATGACTGGGCAGTCACCTAAATATTGATATCAAATCCATTCTCTAGTTTTGAAGTGGTTCCTGATTTTACAGCTTGTCTAGTTAGCCTGTCATTTTAACATTCACTTTGGATTCCTGTGAATGGGGCAGAATCTCAGTAAACACTATGACTGAAGAACAGGAAGTGTTCATTAATCATGGAATGCAGGAATCAGTCACATGCAGTAGTGACAGAAACATCGCTACTTGAAGGCTATAGTTGCTATTGTTAGATCTGAGAAAAGGCCATGTGACTGCTTGTTGTTAAAATAAAGTGTTTTATTCTCATTTTTAAAAAACCTCTACATTCAGAAAAAGTGGAAGAAGTTTTCAAAGGCATGTGGCTTTGAAAATCTCCTCTAATGTGTGTAAGCAATTTTCCCGTAGTAGTCCATGTTTACGTATTATAGGTTGAACCTCTCTAGTCCAGAACCCTTGGGACCTGACCAGAGAATTTTCCAGACTACGGTAGGTCAGTATTGTCTAGCAGTATTACCAACACTCCCACTGCTTACTGAGCTCTTATAAGACATATTAGGGTAAACTAGAGTTAAATAACAGCAGAGAACACTGAGAGCTAGGACTGAGTGGCTATAAACAAACTTTATGGGACCACAAGAAACTTGGTCACATTCATGAAAAGTGGACATCTGGCTAACTAAAATCATGCCAGATTATGGATGTTTCTGGACCAGATTGTTCTGGACTAGAGAGGTTCAACCTGTATTTATATGCATTCGTTATTCAGTCATATTTTCCTGGTATAATTTTCACACATGTATTTTCATTTTACTTTTTCTAACTTTTTTGAAGTGCTGAAGAAAAAATAATTGTGAAATACTGTTATAGGGACTTCTGATTTTGTTTCACATAAATCATTTGGGAGAGAATGAGCACTCTTTCTTTTTGTCTCTGATTTAAGTACTTAAGCATGTGAGTACTCAACAGGATTTAAGTATTTTGCTGATTTGGGGTGTGGAGTAAATTCCAATGCACTATTGTGCTGAAAAATTTCTCTAAATAAGGTATTTTAATTTTTAAAAAGGAAACCCAGAAATAAAATACTTTTTTTAGCTTTTTGTCTGTCTTGTTAAGCAAGGAATGGATATTATCAATGTTAGTCTAGGGCATTTGGGTCAAAAGGGCCCAAGTTCAGGCTCTGCACCTGTACCATATCTCTATCATGGTTATCAGTCAAGAATGACACAGGGTTGCTGGTCCAACAATCAGCTTTATTTAACACTATACCAAACTTAACTAATAGGACACCTTAGGCCCAAGAACAAAAACAAAAAAACGATTGTCACAAACAAGATAGTGGCATAAAGCCAGAACCTAAAATACAAATAACAAAACTGGAACAATACAATAAATAGGGGATCATACTAGGGATGTAAGCAACTAGTCAACTAGTTGGCTATCTGATAAACATAAGCGTATGATGCCTGCATCTTCCAGAACTCCTGCCTGTTCCAAAGGATTCAATCTGGTACCTTTTTCCACGGCTGCACCAACAGGACACTTCCATGTGAATCCTGGGCAACACTGCCTTGTTCTTGCTCCTCTGGCTGTTGTAGCCCCACATTGGCAGCCTGGACCTCACCAAGGAGATCTTCAGTGCCTGACTGAGCCAGGTGCCACATAGTCATGGAGTGTGCATTTGGTCACTTGAATGGGAGATTCAGGAGCCTCCTCACTTGCCTGGACCTCAGCGAGTGAAACATCCCCTTCGTGGTAGTGGCCGCCTGCTGCATACTCCACAACCTTTGGGAGAGCAAGGAGGAGACTTTCCTGCCAGGGTTGGGGGACAGAGGCAGATCGTCTGGCCAGGGCTTACTAGCAGTTGGACACCAGTGCAATTCAGCGAGCACATCTGGGAGGCCTTGAGGGATAGTTTCAGCCAATGTCAGCTGTGAGATTCTCTCCTCTGAGCCTCTCCACAAGAGGTCCCTGCATTGCCCCTGTGGGCCTTTCCTCCCCACTGCCCCCTTTCCTCCTTTCCCCTCCCCTCCAGAGTAAATAAAAAAATAGAGCAAATATAGGCTTTTTTAACAAGCAAATGTCCTTATTTGGGGGATATAAAATGGGTGGGAGTGGGGAAAGGAGGAAAAGGTGGGAGGGGAGCTCAGGGATGGGGCTGGTGCCTGTCTTGGTCAGCTCTGGAAACTTCAGCTGCCCTTGAGGTCTCACTGCCCTATGTTTAGGAGCTAGGAGGGGAAGCCACGGGGGCAGGAGGAGGCTGGTGGCCCACTTAATGCACAAGGCCATGTGTTCACTCACTGAGGTGAGGGAGGAACATGTAGCCACATGCTGGTTTGCCAGCTGGTCCCAGGTAGTCTTCCATTGCTCCTTGTCAGCCTGGTGTTGCTCTTGGGTAGTGGCCTGCTCCTGGGGCTTGTCAGCGAGCTCCTGGATGGACTGGAGACAGGCCATCTGCTCCCTCTGCATGTCTTCCCAGGTGCATTTCCTCTCATGGATCCCGCAGATTCAGGAGGATGGCATGGGAGGTGGTGTACACACCACACTTGCAGCTGGCAAAGAAAAGTTATAAGGGCGGTCATTTCAGGAGACATTGTGCCCTAGCCCTAATCTCTTAAATAATACTGAAGGTCTCAGTTCAGATGATGGTGATGTGCTTCGAGCAAGGCCATCTGTTGCCATGACAGCAGTTTCCTGTAGGGGCACCAACATCCCAGGGAAGCACCACAACTCCCCTGGCCTGGGGACAAGGAGGCATGGGAAGGGGTGGCTTGGCCTCCTTCTGTGTCCCACACACTCCAGGTCCGGAACTGGTGGTGTCCCGCAGAGAGAGAATTTCTAACCCTGCCCACTGGGGGAGGGGGATTTGAGGGAGGTGTGTGTGAGTGGCGGAGGCCACTTGTTGGAGAGAGTGCTCTTGGGATTCCCTCTTCTTCCTCCCCTTGGCAGGTTCCCATGCAGGGGTTCAATCTCCTCCACATCCCTGAGATTGGCTGGGAGCAGATGCTGCCCAAGTGCAGGCATAAGCCTGTGCTGTATGTGGCACTGCTGTGTTGTTCCATGACCCTGGCCTCCTTCTTGGTGGCTTGTCATGGGAAAGTGTCCCACCACAGAGGCTGGAGTAAGGCAGGCCTGTCCAGGAACCTTGTGAGAAGGACCGAGGGTTTTGTGTATATGAGCGTCATGGCGCTGAGTGCTCCAGATTGGTGCTCCATGTGCACCCATGTGCACAGGCTGTTGTGCGACCCCCCCACAGACCAAGTAGGCTGAGTGAGGAGCCCGCTGCCTGTTCCTGCGTGTGCATAGGGACCGTTATAAAACTCACCTGAAGTGCCTTTCTTGGGTTTTTCCAACGCCTGAGAAACATCCTGGGGGAATGGCTCCAAGGTGAGGAGCAGCTCCTGGCAGGCGGGCATGGTCTCCTGGCTGGCCTGCTTCTCCTCCTTCTTGTCTTCCACAACCCTGCCCTTGTGGAGGCTGATAGCGGGTGTGTCCTGGCCGAACTCGCCACCAATGAGGGGGGAGGGGTGACTGTCCCCTCTCCCAGGATGGCATTGAGCTGGTGGTAGTACCAGCATGTGTGCAGTGCCACTCCAGAGCATCCACTCTGCTCCCTAGCCTTATTGTAGGCCTGCTGGAGCTCCTATGTCTTCATAAGTGACAAGGAGTCCTGTGGCACCTTATAGACTAACAGATGTATTGAAGCATAAAGCTTTCGTGGGCAAAGACCCGCTTCGTCAGATGCATGTAGTGGAAATTTTCAGAGGCAGGTATAAATATGCAGGCCAGAATAAGACTAGAGATAACGAGGTTAATTCAATCCAGGAGGGTGAGGCCCACTTCTAGCAGCTGATGTGGAGGTGTGAACACCAAGAGAGGAGAAACTACTTTTGTACTTGGTTAGCCATTTCCAGTCTTTGTTTAATCCTAAACTGATGCTGTCAAATGTCTTCATGCGGACCTTGTTGAGGGTCCATGCATGTCCCTTCTCAGCCAGGCTGGCAGCCATCCGGCTGTAGACATACACGTTGTGCCTTCTCGTGTGGAGATCTTGGAGGTTGACTCCTCGCCACAAACCTCGATGAGAACCAGGATCTCCGCACCAGTCCAGGCTGGTGCTCTCTTGCGTCCCTGGCTACTTGCAGCCGAGGATGCTGCGGGAGTGCTGGCAGCCGTGGAGGGCTCAGAGGGAGCACTGGGGTCAGCCATGTCTCCTGTGCTATTGCAGTGTGGAACAGGGCTGGCAAGGCTGTCCTCGTGCCACAAGCCCTTTTCTTGCAGCCTGATGCTTTAAAAGCTCCACAGGCGAAGGGGAGCAGTGGTGCTGACAGATGTGGCCAGAGCTACCAGAAATCCAGCTGTGAGAAGCCCCTGGAGGCCAATTATTTTGAAATAGCAGCAGTTGAGCATCCACACTAATGCTATTTCAAAATAACAATTTTTTGAAATAAGCATTATTCCTCGTGGAAGGCAGGAGTAGATTTTGAAATAAGCAGCACATTATTTTGAAATAATGGGCTTGGTAGTGTGGATGC